CCTGCCTATTTCATGAATAATAGCCTAAGAGATAGCTAATATTTTCCTACATTTTTCTTACATAGGAATGAAACACTGCCCAAGTAGCTTGGCAACATTTTTATGCACTTATTACTCATGAAACCAACAACTTGTTTAAGCATAGCCATTTTGAAGTCATAACCATATGATGGCCTTGAGTTCACAATTTCCCCTCTTCTTTGAAGAACATAAGTTTTTTTTAATGATACTGATGGTGACAGAAAGGATTTTAGTAATTTGACAACAAAAGGTAAATGTGAGAAACCTGAGGACTGTCCCAAAGTAGAAACGAAGGTCACGTCAATCGTTCCCTTAGAAGTAGCCTTCAAGAAAATTTAGTTAAAAAAACAACCAAATAAAGAGCTCTACTATAGTAATTCTGCCCTAGGAGCTGTTCATTTTCATCATATATTACTACCATTACCCAAGTAGATGAATTATGTAACACAGAATTTCCTGTGGTTCAGTCCCTATCCATGTACATTGGCCATGTTAAAAAGAAAAGTACCGTGTCCTTATTAAAATACTTACCATCTAATTTAGATGAACTCAAGCTCTGTCACCAGGACAAAGGATGAGGATCTTATTATTTAGTACTATAAATATGTGTGAAACTTAACTTCTGAATTTAAAGTCATTTAAGGTAAAGAAGAATCACAGTATTTTAAATAAGCCGCAACTTGTATACCATTAAATTACCATAAGGCCAAAGAAATTTTAGGGTACAGAAAATATATTTTAATGTACCCAAGAAGAGAGAAAGGAAATGTCCAAAGCCCTGGGAACAAAACTGTCCGAGTTTTTATTTGCTCATTACTCAAGCAATCAAGAGTCTTAAGGAGAGACAACTGGCATATTCCAAGTCAACTCTAGAAGTGCTCAAGTCAACTACAACCCAGGACTAAGTGAAAGATTTATTAGGTGAGGAAGAGACAGGCAAATTAAACAGCTAGTCTTTTACCACAAACTTGAGCCTATCTGAAGTTTCCACTAGCCTGGTACTAGGAATAGATTGTGATTTGTTCAATTTATAAATGACATTTTTTTTTTGCCCATGGGTAACAATTTTATACAATCTATGTTAAACTGGTTTCTAACTTCCTAGTAGTATATGTATAAAATAATGGATTTTATTGCGACATTTTCATGCATGCTTACAATGTAATTAAATTATACAGACGCTCCCTGTTCACTCTCTGTGGTATTTTCTTAAAACCAGAGTCCATATATGGGAAATATGAAATATTTGTCTTTCTAAATTTGAATTGTTTCATTTAACATGATAATCTCCAGCTCCACAGGCTGAAGGAGCTGAATGTGCTCCCAAAGCACCGCACTTCTTAAAACTTAAGATGTGCCATCACTAGGGTGTATAGGGTACTTCCTGCTTACCCCACCAGTCCAGAATGGCCGAGCTACTTGCGCCTCTGAGAAGGTCAACATAGCCACCAAACAAACTGAGACATTCTACTCACAAACCCTATCCAAATGCTCAGTTTCCTGAAAGAGTCAGAGTTTGTGCTAACAGCATGGCCCATGGCCAGGAAGCTGCCATTTTGAAATCATATGGCTGCTACCATTGAATCAGTAAGACTTCTCTTAAAGGAACTGCAGCATGCCGCCTCAAGCAAAGCCCATTTGGAAAAAAAATGCCGTTAAAGTTTGTTTTATAGTGTCTAGAATTTCTTTTCAAGCCCTCTCTGGTTTTATGTGGATATAGTTCACCATGTTGGCGAGCCAATCTGTTGGAGAATGCAGCTCATTAGTGCCTGGCCGCCTGGCTAGCTTAGACCCGAAATAATCACACAGAAACTATATTATTTTAAACACTACTTGGCCCATTAGCTCTAGCTTCTTATTAGCTAACTCTTACATCTTAATTTAACCCATTTCTATTAATCTGTGTATTGTCACATGACAGTGGCTTACCAGCTAAAGTTCCCAGCATCTGTCTCCAGCAGCGCCATGGCTTCTCTCTGACTCCGCCCTTCTTTTTCCCAGCATTCGCTCTAGCTTTTCCTGCCTAGTTCTGTTCTGCCCTTACCAAAGGCTCAAAGCAGTTCTTTATTCATTAATCAACAAAAGCAACACATAGACAGAAGGACCTCCCACACCATCCACATATTTTCATAACAAATTACATTATTTCATTCTTCTGTATGGCTAAATAAAACCTCATTGTTGTAAAGACATGCCATATTTTCTTCATTCATCTGTTTAGAAGAAAATGTAGAACATTTATAAATTTTGCCCCCAACACTGAGCAAATTTTGCAGGATATTGTAGGTGTTTAATAAAACTTTTTGAGATGAGATCTTCATAGTAAAACGGCCTTAATAATGATAGTCCTGTCTCAGACTATGCTAGAATTATAAGCATGCAGTGATGTAGGATTCCCCTCTGTATTCTGTGACAGTTTTATTACCATTGGCTAATAAAGAAGCTGTTTTAGCCTATAGCAGGGCAGAATATAGCTAGGTGGGAAATTTAAGCAGAGAGACGGAGAAAGGAGGAGGAGTTGGAGAGGTGCTAGCGTGGCCAGAGGAGTAAGATGCCAGAGCATTACCAGCAAGGCACGGAGCACATGGCAACACACAGATTATTAGAAATGGGTTAATTTATATGTAAGAGCTAACCAGTAAGAAGCCCGAGCCATTAGCAAAGCAATTATAATTAAGTCTCTGAGTGGGGACCTGTGGGCAGGAGAGAAACTATTCCAACAGAACCAGATGGGACAGAAAAAGTCTTTCAGCTGTAATGCAGGACTACACCTGGTAAAATTATTAAATAAAAGATATAGTTGAAACTCAGCATCTGAGAGCTTATAATCTTTTCTTTCTTTCCTTTTTTTAAAAAAAAGGGCAAATGTTTTGAGACAGGGTATCTCTGTGTAGTCCTGGATGGCTATCTTGGTATTTGCTCTGTAGACTAGAATGGCCTCAAACTCAAAAATCTGCCTGTCTCTGTTTCCTATGGGCTGGGATTAAAGGTATGCCACCACACCTGGTGAGATGTGTATAATCTTGTAAAACAGATACTTTGAAAAAAACTACAGAAACTAAAGTGATGTTTCTCATTGTACAGTGATTTCTCAGGTGTCTCTGAAAAGATTAATATTTTTATTCCTAGTAGAAAAGCTCAGAAACCTCATAAATATTACTTTCCAAACTCATCACTAGCAATTCAAATGAAGTACAGAAAAATGAGCTGAGTCCTTCAAACCTCCTGTTAAGGGCAGTTTCACTAAGCAGAGTGCTCTGAAACAGTGAATTCCAGAGTCATGTCTGAGCAGCCAATCTAGCAAAGCTTCTCCTGGGGATAGGTAGCTTAGCCTGTAGTAAATATCTAACTAAAATGCCATAGTTTGGGGAAGGATAGGATATAAAGTAAAAAGGAAGTCACTTTGAAATGCTTGTATTGTCTCATTCATTAAAAAGGACAAAAAAGCTTAAGATAGTATATTAAACTATACCAATATTACCACCAATGTTTATCAGAAACTTAATAATTCTATAGCTACGTATTTCTTTTTCCCTTCTTTCACCATGACTTGAAGAATGAAAGACTTTTTACAAAACAATTCAATTTTCATTAAACTTAAATTGATGAGTCTCAAAGGCAAAATCAGCTCATGAAGCAAATTGATTCTCCTTGAGCAATGGTTCTCAACCTGTGGGTCACGAATCCTTGGGGATAGCATCAAATATTCTGCATAACAGATATTACAATTCATAACAGTAGCAAAATTATAGTTATGAAGTAGCAACAAAATAATGTTATGGTTAGGGGGTCACCACAACATGAGGAACTGTATTAAAGGGTCATTTCATTAGGAAGGTTGAGACCCAGTATAGAACTTACAACTAGATTAATGAGACACCCTACATCGATACACCTTTGTTCTGTTTTTATACCTGTTGATGTAAGCCTTGAGGCTGATGTAAAAATAATTCACCAGGACAGCTAATTATCACATGTTCTACATTAAAAAAACCTATATAATTATCAAAGCTTTAGAAAGTAAGGAAAGGAACATTTAATATTTATCTAGTTATTTAAAAATAAGTTATTGGTAATGTCCAAATGTGTAAAAGGCTATTATACCCAGTATATTCACAAGGTATTTGTATACAGTAAAAACTTGGATAGCCATCAGGAAAGCTATGTAGCAATATAAAACACTACTATATTTACTTAGACACTTAGATAATACACCACCCTTATGAAACAATTGAAATAAAGAATAATAATCATTTAAGTGGGAAAATACTCATAAATTTTCAGTATAGAGCTATTGAAAAGTAGCCTAACAGTGAGAAGTATGGTTAAATTGCATGTAATGAATGAAGTAACTACACAAAAAAAACGCTTGATAACTATAAAGCACATCTTCATTGTGACTGCAGTCAAAATTACACAAAGATATGTAAAAGAATAGAGAAATAGACAATGCAACAAAATACTTTCCTAAAATCAGACCTTTTTCATAGAAAAGATATTACATCAAAAGTTAGGGATAGAATGTTGCTTTTGTATTCACCTTCTCAGCAAAACCCCTTGCAAAAGCCTATATAATGTTTAAAAAAATAGCACATTCTCTTTAAGTGAACTGTGTGTTAGCCCACTATAAGTTCCTATATGATTTATAGAAGCTAGTTTAAGTTTGGTTAGTAGCTTAGTAATACATAGTAATTAATCATAAGACACTTTCTGCTCAAAAGACCTGCAAACATTCTGTTCACCAGTTTGGAAACTGCTGTTGGATTGAAGGTACTCAACGGGGGCATAAGAGGCAAGGCATCTTAATTGCCAGAGAGGAGTTTTCATACTCCATGTTCCACAGTTGGGAGTCACTAATGGCAGTATGCACTATCCCTCAGGTGAATATACTAAGTCTTGCTTAAGAACCAATGATCTATGCAGATATTGATAAACAACTTAATGCCACAGAGGGGAGAAGGCCATTAGGAGACGGTTACCTCCGGTCTAAGCACAGCTTTCATGCAGGTCGAACAAAGAGGCCCATTTCGGGAGAAATGAAGGGGAAGACGGCGGGTGCGACTGCGGCATGCTGGCTCCTCACATATCAACCAGCACTAGGGAGGAAAGGGAGAAAAATCAACACCGAAACTAATAAACCCTTCTGTTATCAAGGATTTATTCCAACCTTCCTTAGAGATTGCACAATAGTTTAATTAACTCACTTCTTTTGGACTAGATGTATGCCCCAAACTTAAAAATTAGGAAAAACATGGTTTTGGAGAGAGGGTTCAATAGTGAGGCATGCTGACTTCTTCCAGAGACCACAGTTTTGATTCCAGTACCCACATGGGAGCTCATGACCATCTGTAAACTCCAGTTCCAGGGATCTAACACCTGCTTTGGGCCTCTTGGCACTACACACATACATGATATATTTACATACATACAGGCAAATTATACTCCCACACATAAAAAATTAAATCTTAAAAAAAACCAAGAGTCATTTCCATGAAATGTTCTCCCTTTTCTTAAGGGATATATGCCCCCCATCAAAATCTCCCAATTAAAACTACTATTATACATAAACTATAAACCAAACAGTTTTAGTTCAGACCATTATACCAAATGTGTAGAAATGAGTGACCTTCCCAATAGCCTAGTTACATAAGTATGCTAGTTACCTTCTGTTTGAAAAGGGTACGACAACAGTATCATACCGTATAGACCCTGCTATAGTGATGGAACACACTGAAAGTACTTACAAGTTCTCTTGCCATAAAAGAAATGCCTAATAAAGCTAGTGATTATGTGATTTTAAATTAAAACAGATTCTTCTACATGTGTTCTCTGGAGACATAAAACTGGCTCCTATGTTTTCAAAGACAACTTTAACCACTATTTTTCAGAGATTTGAAGTAGCCATTGTCTATTTCTCTGCCCTGTAGATTTGTCACCCCTTTTCTTCTTCAGTTACTCTCCCTGTTTTTTTTTTTTAATTTTCTTACGGTGATACAGTACAGTATGTCTACCATTTTGAAGTAGTATTACACTTAGTATAAAATGTTATCTGTTCAATAGAAAGACAAGCTACCACATATAGAGTTGAGCAAATCTCAGAAGTTCAAATTGAGCCCTAAGGCTTGTGGGCTTTGGTGCTACTGTATTACTACAGAGGCACAGTAAAACTGGGCCAAGCAAGGTGAGGTGCTGTAGCATATAAGTAAGCAAGACATGTCCTCTTATCTCATAGTGTCCTTTCCTATAAGGCTCTGGGTCAGGGCATTCAGAGACATGGTAATTTTTCAACTTGAAGAATGATCAGAAGTTTGGTTAGTGGAAAAGAAAGGAAAGACAACTTTGGAAGAAAGATCCACACATGACAAAGAATAGAGGCTAGAGTCACTCTAGGGTTGTGCTAAGAAAGAATCAGTAACCTGTATAACTCCATTCCTTTTTGCTAGTTTCAGCAGCTTGTCTTACCCCTTGATAAAAGCAGTATACACATACACATGAATGTTGCTTAAGTTAGTATTCTTTAATCTCCATATCATGGCATTTCCAAATCTGAGGGATGCCCTCACTCACTGCTGTGCTGGCCCTTATTCCCCAGAATAGGCCCTTCTTGAAAGTAGCTACACACAAACTCAAAAGAAATCACCAAGAATTGGTTTTTACAGCTCCATTTATGGCTTTAAAACAAAACAAAGTGCCATTTGTACAACTTACTAAAAAAAGCTATCTTTAAAAAATAGAAAATTCATCTAGTCATAATATGCTGAAAGGAAATTCACTCCTACCTTCATTCAGTAAGCTAAATTAATTTATTATTAGATCTTTGGGAGTTGTGCACTGTTTTGAATATATTCACTGCCTCCCCCCAATTCAATTTTCTATCCTTTGGGAAAAAAAACCCAACCTTTTAACTATGTTTCAGTGAATCAAAGCTAACTATTTAAATTGTAATCTGAACTTTTCAGATGGAGAATATCAAACAAATGATATTTGCCTAAAGTTTTATTAAATATTATGGTAAACAGGCAAAGGGGTACCAAGCACAGAGTTTCAGGAAACAATAGTCTAAATAGGAAAGCATGCTCTGAACAGAATAACAGTTCTGTATAGACAAGGGATATATTTGAGACCTGAAGCTCTTTAGTTAGCTCACAGTCTTGCCAACCAAAGCTGTAATTCACTAACTTTTAACAAAATAAAAAAAAAAATTTTATTTGGTAAATATGGTAAAAACTACCTTCAATTTTTAGGTTGGTGGAGGAGGGTTTGTTCTACGTGGTCCAGGTGACGTCAAATTCATATTCTTCCTGCCTTAGTCTTTAAACTGGCTAAGATCTATGTAAGTATCCTCACATCTAGCTGAGGATCCTATTTTGAGGCAAGAGCTCATTAAGTACTGAACACAACTTGGTTATTAAATTATTATTGTGCATAACAACAACAACAAAAATAATAATTTTGAAACAAGATCTGGCTACACAGTCCAGGCTGTCCCCTGAGTGCTAGGATTATAGACATGATACCAAGCCCAGGAATTTGTTTTATAATCTTTAAAATATAATGTTCAAAAAGTTTGTCCCTTTCAGACGTTTTCAAAACTTGATTCCATTATTGTTTCACAATTCACCAAGTGACCTGACAACCAACAAGATGTTAAGTTGTCATTTCACCTATTTTAAAAAGCAAAAACCTAAGTTTATCTCTGACAGAATCACTAACTAAACGTTCTTTCAAATCATATAGAAAACAGATAATAAATTTGTCTACACTTCCTACTAGTTATAATTAACATTAAAGAGGTCTTTCTTTCTTTGTCACCTTTCTATTCAGTGCTTGTTTGGGTTTGTTTGTACTTACTATCTGTTAATCTCCCTTTATATATGACAACACAAACTAGTGCTATTATGCATGGAAATTAAGTATGCTGATAAACGTGTGAAGGGAACTGTCAGTGAAGAAAATAGTAGAAACCTGTAACTCTTTATACCTCATGTTTTATTTTGAAAATTAAGCTTTTGGACATGATATATTTTAAATGAAAATGATATATTTTAAATGAAACTCTTATGGGAGAAACAAGCCATTTTCAATATATGATTTGCTTCAATTCAATATTGTCTAGTACATTTCAATTAAGACTTTATTCCCTGGGCTGGAGAGATGGCTCAGAGGTTAAGAGCACTGACTGTTCTTCTAGAGGTCCTGAGTTCAGTTCCCGGTAACCACATGGTGGCTCACAGCCATCTGTGGTGGGATCTGGTGCCCTCTTCTGGTGTGCAGATAGAACGCTGTATACATAATTAATAAATAAAAACTTTAAAAAAAAACTAAAAAAAAAAAGACTTTATTCCCTCAAGAAATGTTAAGAATGGCAGGTTTTACTTCAATAAACATTTATATTGTTAAAAATATTCCAGGACTTTGAAAAAAATTACAAGATGGGGCAAATTGTCCACTACAAGATCATCAAAGGGAATTTCATTTGTAAAGGGCAACAGAAACAAAGCAAATGAAACTACTAGGAATACTGTGTGACCTTAAATTATCATTTACAATGACAAAACTAAACATTTTCATTTTCCCCCTTGGGATAATATGTACAGCTCAAGAATCTGTTGAGAAGTCAATAGAAGAAGAAATCTGTTTTGAGTAATTTCCGGGGAAGTCCAATCTAAGAAAGGGGTTTTTCAAGGAAATACTTTAAAACCACTGTAAGAAGTCTGCCATCCAAACATACCATCTCACTACTGTGTCGTGTTACATGCAAATTGTCACATGCAATAGGAATAAGGACATCACATTTTCAGTTGCCTGGCTTAATCATGTTTATAAATGAAAGAAGTAAAGTTAACCTGTCCAACAGGAAAACAAACTTGTCTAAACATACAAAGCTCTATCCCCTGTTGTTTAATTTCAGCAATACTATTCTTTAAAATAATTGTGTACCAAATTGTGTCAAATACTGATCAGTTTTGATTGCTAAATTATATCTCTGAGATCTCAACTAAAATGACTTCTGTCTGCACGAGCTAAAGGGATCACTTTCCACCTGTAACTGCGGCATTCTTGAAAGTTGGACCTAAAACACCAACTGTTATTCCCTTGTGTGTATTTACAGTTTTAGGATTCACAGGTGGAGATCCCACCCAGATCTAGAAATGTGGTACATGGGGGCCTTCAAAAAGAATTCTTCAAATAAACAGAAGCAATAAAATAAAAACATAGAGAAAGCAAAAAGGCCTGGATCTGAAATTCACAGGAAAAAACTCAAAGCAGCTCTTACCCTCCTCTTCTATTACCAGCCAGTTACCAATTTTATCCCACTAATCTTTTTCATCTACAGCCCAGTTAGCATCAAAGTTACTAAAATGCTGATCTTAAGCTGCTCTGCTGCAGTAGCCTCTGCTTTGGCTATCATGACCCCATTCTCTCCCACACCCACTATAAAAAGGGGCCAAATGTAGTTCTCCAGGGTTCTTCATCCCATATCATCTCTTCAAAGACAAGTAACACACTCATTGGTCTCCTTTCAAATCTTTACAGCCTCATCCTGATCCCTGCTTTCACATTCCTAACAAATAATTCTTATTCCATTGGATTGCTTTTGACACTATCCTCTATCTTAACCTTGACACTGCATGGCCACATAATCCCTTCCTAAAATACCCACTGCTTTAATGAAAAGTCCATTCTTCTACAAAAACTTCCCAACCTACTGGGACTTCTCCCATTATCTCACTGGACAAAGAACATACACTGGTTCACATTGTCCCTTAAGCACCTTATTTTACCTTGCTAACTAGTTGGCCCCTGGAGAATAACCTTGTTAGGGTTTAGTAGTTTTCTTGCTAGTCTCTAGGGCATGGACTCTCTTTTAAGTATCGTACCCTCACACGTTATTAGTTAATTTTGTGTAAGTGACCAAACCTTTCTCTGAACCTCAGTTTCCTCATCTATAAAACAGAAACAATGCTTATCACAATTGTTTAAAGGATAAAAGCAAAACAACAACAAAACCCTAAAATAACCTCAAAAAATGTTCAGTAAATGCACTGAGGATTACTGTTAAGTTATAACAAACTGTATATATATATATAAGTAT